ATGCATCGTAGATGGATTTGGCAAGTGCTTCTCTGCTCGATAATTTCGAAGTGTTCTGGCAAGAGACGATTGTTTTGGAATATAAGCAAGTGCATTATTGCTTACTCCTGATAATTTATCTCCAATAACATTGCGAGATGTAGCATTCACCGCTGTCATGGCTTCTCGCATTTGGCTTCTGGCGATATTTGCTTCTGCTTTTTGGGGACATGAATCATGACAATGACTGCCTGGATCTTGTACAATGTCCTTGTCCTTCGTTTTTATTAAGGAATGGCACTTAGTTTGTCGATTTTCACGGCACCTCCATGTATCTATCCCATTTGTTGTGCGAAAATGTATATATTCAAAACCATTGTAAATAAGAACTCGCTTGCCTTTTTGACTAGACGAAAACTCCATTTTGTTTATTACAAAAATTCAACTTAACTTGTTCAAGAATTAGAGCACAATAAATTAACTTTAAATTCCGTAGTCTATTTATAAGCGCCTTTACTTACCTGCCTTAATTCTGCAAATAATAAATTCCAAGAAATATAATAATGTCACAACGCCGAATAAATGAAATAATAAGTACCTATCTAAATTTTATAATCCCTAGTAAAAATAAATGACCACTTGCAAATAATCGATTATTAATAAATAATTTAACAATCTCGGGGCGATCACTTCCGTCACAAGGCTGGTACCTGCTATAAGTACCCATTCAATTAGGGCAGACACGAATTGAGAACCAAAATAAAAATATTAAGAAGGGTTTATTTTTGTACCTGAAAATATGACACGAATTGAGGACCAGGCTTCTGAGAAATAATTATAGTAAGTGCACCGAATTGCGGATTAGGGATTAAGGTTGTAATGATGATTCATTGCGTTAACGAGCATTTTATTACTTTACTTTCGAAATTCTAATATATATTTGAAGTGAGTGTTTTGTGTTTAGTTTATTTTGAGCAGTCTTGTAAAAATGAGTGAAATTAAAATGATCTTAAGTGAAAAGGGAAAGTCGTTACTTGTGTGGGATGATTATAAGTTTCGTGAAAAAAAGGTTCTTAAAAGTGGTGAAAAGTTTTGGACTTGTACTGTAAGTAAATGTAACGCAAAAGTATTTACGCTAGGTTCAGATAATATAATTTCTCGAAAAGAAACAGTGCACAATCATGAAAATGACATAAAGAAATTAAATAGACAAATTTTGAGTGTAGCAAGCAAACGGAAAGCTGTAGAAGATATCACAGAACGGCCATCGAAAATCATACACTCTGTTTTAAGGGAAAACAGTGATACAATGGACGCTTTGACAAGAAAAGACATTACATACATAAGAAATAATATGTATTACAAAAGACGTCAAGTCCAAGCACGTTTACCAAGCAATGTATCAGATGTTTTCGATATTTTACCAACATTAAATTTGACAACAATTAAAAATGAACCATTTTTCTTGGCCACTGATAATATTAACAATATTGTAGTATTTTCGTGCTATACTAATTTAAAATTTTTGTATAGTAGTGACAAAGTGTATCTTGATGGAACATTTCGATATTGTACGAAACATTTTTTACAGTTGTTCACACTTCATATCGTAGAAAACGGCCATTATATACCAGTAGCTTTTTGTTTATTACCGAATAAACTTCGTTTAATATACGAAAGACTTTTCGTTATTCTTAAAGAAAAGTGTTGTAATGCTAATTTAATATTTGTTCCAAAAATTATTGTAGCTGATTATGAACTAGCTATTCACAAAGCAATTTCTGCGCAATGGCCCACCACAAAGATCATTGGATGTAGGTTTCATCTTGGCCAAGCTTGGTACAGAAAAATACAGAGTTTGGGATTGGCTAAAGAATACCAAGATGAAAAAAGTGCAACTGGAAAATGGATGAGGTATCTTTTTGGATTGTCTTTTTTAAAACCCGAAGAAGTTGGAGAATGTTTTGCTTTGGATTTGGCTGAATTTCAGCCCGATCATATGCATAAAGCTGTGGTAAATTTAGCTGACTATTTAGTAAAGAATTATATTGAAGAAAATTCTTTATTTCCACCAACAATTTGGGCTGAAGCTGTTGTAACTACAGAAAATTCTACCAATGCATGCGAGTCCTTTCATTGTAGATTTAATTCAAATTTCTATTCAATGCACCCTTCATTGTATTTATTTGTAAATGTTTTGAACAATTTTCAAACAGATACTTATATTCGTATTAACAGCCTTAAGGAGTCTGTTAAATGTAACAACAAAATTGTTAGACGAAGATTAAATATGTTAACTTCAAAAATGTTAGAATATAAAAATGGTTCTATAAAACGAATAGATTTTGTAAAATTCGCATCAAATTATCATAAAGTGTATTAAATGTAAATAATATGTATATGTTTAAAAAATTAATTATAAATTGTAAATTGTGCAATAAATATCTATTTTTATCTGAATTCGTACTTTTCTTCAAATTTTGCAAATCCATCAGAAGACAAATAATAATATTATAAATGGGTATAGTGATAAGATACTTCAATTATTGAGAAGTTTGTTCCTCAATTCGTGTCATATTTCTAGGTACAAAAATCTCTCTCAGTAATCTAGTTAACGCAATGAACCCTCATTACCACCTTAATCCCTAATCCTTAGTACGGTCCGCAATTCGGTGCACTTATTTGGTCTGTGCAGGTAGTGGTCCTCAATTCGAGAACACCGTTCAATTACGGCATAATCGCGCTTCAAAGGGATTAAAATGCTAAGAAATATTTCTAGGAATAAAAATATTTGTAAGATTTTAGATATTCATTAGAATGATAAATACTGAAAATGCATAACTTTTACAAAAACATATTTAGATCAAATATTGTTCCTATATTCTAAAATTTTAAATTGTATAAAATTATTTTTTTTAATTGTGGTACTTTTTAAATTTTTTGTAAACAGTTTGTTGGTTTAATTTTAATCTATGATTGAGCAATTTAATAAAATATGTACAAAATGGTATACTCAAACTTATTTACAAATAAAAATTCACCACTACATAAATTTCTTCGCCGCAATCCTCGGTCTAGGCTGGAGAAATGTGGGCGTCGTCTCGTACCCGTCATCACTAATGAAAGTGGTTTGATAATTTTCCTGATTATTAAGTGCCATCTCCTTATCCGTATATATTATAGGGCAATTTTGATTATTGTGGGAACGTCGGTAATGGAACTTATCTCTTGTAGTTGTGTCTGTTGTTAGTTTTGTTTCGTAATCCCTGAAAAAGCGTTGAAAAAACAGGGTTGTCCTTGTGTTTGTCGATTTGTCCGTATAGATTTTGGCTGAATTGTGCAAATTCATGAACTACACGATTTTACCGCAAACCGAGGCAGCGAGAGTATCGCCGTTTAGATTTTCGACTTCACCGTGCAGTCCACCGTCCGACCAGATTTTTCGTCTAGTCGGTTTGAATTTGCACATGTCCTAGGTGTTGTTTGCGTAGAAGCGTATAACTTTTATTTTTCTAGCTGTCAGTTGTCAGTTGTCCAAATAAAATATTTCTTTATTATTTTTCTCCATCATTTGTTAATCATCTCGCCAGTGTAAGTACCCTCCATTAACAGAGGGAGTTCGGTTTATGTCCGAGCCCAATGGGGCCACCATAACACCTGTAGGTTTTGAGACACTATATTCAAAACGGATCAAGAATAGATGCCGGCTTAACACCACACAAGTATTAAAACTAGCAAACGTGCACTCTCCACAAAAATTTAAGGCCAAAAGTAAGCTGCAACCACAAACTGTGAGTAAAGAAACGTTTTCACAATTAACAACTAACCCAGAGGTCATTGTCCGAGACCAGGAGGGTTCCCCGGTCAAAAATTTCGTGGTTTGCCCTTCAAATGACCGTGAACACATAGAACGGTCTGAAGAGGATACAAATATGAGCAATACCCCTGAGGACGGGGAAACAGCCTCCAGGAAACAATCTGTCGCAGGTTCGGACGATAACAATTACTTTGACAGTCATGAAAATCCCATCGGCAGTCCTGTGGATGAGAAAAAAGACAAAAATGCATATTCCACTGCAGAAAGCATTATAAATGAGCTTGAGACATCTAGACACTCTCTAAACACAACAAACTCCTTGCAGGAGTCTATGGATAGAGGACAAGAGGATACCATTATAGAAAATAAGGGGACAGGACAGGAACCACCAGGCACTGATGACTTTCTGTCTGATTATCAGAAAGAATCCACTCCCAAACCACTTATACAAATCAAAACCCTATCATTACCGACTAATGTAGTCGCTAGACCACTTAATTTCGGGAATAATGACCCAAGTGGTATATTCTTTTCAAATACCCAACTTCCGACTAGACTGGTGGAAATTGTACATAAACGGCGTGAACTGAGTAGCCTTGTGCCTGTACAATCTTCCACACCTCCAGCCCCTCACAACACTGTCATAGTTACCCCTTCTGCCCCCCGTGCTTACACAGGAACCATCAGGAGAATATAAAGTGATCCTAGAATAAAAATCACAGTTAACAACACTGACATTCCCAAAAACATTGAGAATAACATACTCAACTATGACTATACCGTTACCTCAGAAGAGGAACCTAAAGAGGCCCAAACGAAAAGGCAGGATAATCTCCCGCACTCGCCTAACAGCCTTTTCGAAATCCGCAACGCTGCCGAAAGAGCAAAATACGTGGCTGAAAGAAAGGCCGAAGATGAGAGACTACTAAACAAGGAGGATCCGTTTATCATGCCAAAAAAATTCAGTACGAATTTCCAGAAATTAGTAAGAGAAAAAACAAAAAAACTCTTACCCAAACCAGCAATACATTCCAAGTTCTCACAGATGAATCTGATTCAGATTATGATGATGAAATTGGAAAAATTGTGAAGAAAAGAAAGAAGAAAGGCACTGTATTCAAGCCATATGTGGAAGATGAAACCCCCACTGATGTAACCGTCAAGACATCCGATAAAAACACTATCAAAAATAGTGTGAATTCAGCATCTTCCAGCAAAGCAAATAAAGCACCCAGTATACCTCCAAAACAAAAATCCACAATGCCACCCATAGTCATAGATGGTAAGACGGCCAACCATACAGGACTTATCAATGACCTTAAAACTTTTGTCACGGGAGAATTTAGTGTAAAACACACAAACTACACGACAATTCTCTTCGTTGACAAAAAAGAAGATTACGATAGAGTGTTAACTACCATCAAAGCCGACAATATTGCTTATCATACATACACATCGAATAATGACAAATCACACGCATTTGTGCTCAGGGGCATAGCCGAGGGCACTAAGATAAAGGACATCAAAGAAAATCTCGATGACGAACACGAGATCACGGCCCGAGAGATATACCAGATGAATACCAAGGAACGTCCCCTCTTCCTGGTAGTTACTGATCCAGCGTTGACATTGGATTATTTGAACAAGAACACAAAAAGAGTTCTCTACACAAGAGTTACATGGGAGCTCAGAAAATCAACCAAATTAATAATTCAATGTCATAACTGCCAGCAGTGAGGACATGCCACGGCTAACTGCGGTAAACCAGCCAAATGCGTGAAGTGTGCGGGTGATCACCACACACGTACCTGCAATAAGACCAGAGAAACGCCAGCTACGTGTGTAAATTGTGGGGGTGATCACCCTGCAAACTATACAAAATGCAAAGCATACCTTGAGAGACTACAGCGAATGGAGCTTAGGAGGCCACTCCCACAAGAGAAATATGTTCCCGCCCCCTTGCCGAAAACGAACCAATGGCAAGCAAGAAATCAAAATGTAAGAACAAATACACAAATGGATGATTTCCCAGCGCTTCCTGGCAGGAACGCAACAGAAACTAACAGAAAAGATAATAACAGAACAGAAATACCTAACAAAAATATTCCAGGAGCAGCCATGAGCGATTTAACAGCCTTAAATAAAGAACTTGCTGAGCTAAACAGGTTAGTCAATTTAGGTGAGCTTACCAGAGCACTAAGGGCATTGAACGCAAAACTTAAACTTTGTAATAGCGGACAGGACATAATTGAAACTTATAACGCGTTCATGTCAGACGTAGACATTAATTTCAACATTAGGAACTGAGCTTCACTCACACGACACAAACTCAAAATTTGTTTTTACAATCCAAATGGGATGCGCAACAAAACCGCACTTGTTCGCAGTTTCATTCATAAACATAAATTCGACATCATATTCCTTTCAGAGACTAACTACAAACCGACAATCACATTCAAAATACAAGGATATGATGTCATTAGACAGGACCGCCTTCAATTTGGGGGTGGGGTAGCTTTCCTAATCCGAAATAATATTGAATGTAATCGATTGCCACAACTCAATATCTCGCAAGAGCATATCATAATAAAAGTAGACAATATTAACTTTGTAGGAGCCTACAATACCCCTAATAACATATTAACAAAAGTTGAATTAAATACCATCATGTCATCGGGTAATAGAGTTCTTTTACTGGGTGATCTAAATAGTAAGCACCCACATTGGGACTCTTATTGTACAAATCCCAATAGAAGTGGAAAAAACCTGGAAGAATTCGCCGAAAACAATGATATAATCATTCACTATACAGACGAACCAACGCATTTCCCTTTTATACAGGGACATTCATTTAGTACAATAGACATTGCTGTCGCCAAAAACATACCAAACATTGACAATACACAAACTATCAAAACACTAACATCTGACCATGATCCTGTCTACTTGGAGATCAAAACAACACGTGTGATACCAAGGAGACAGGGTCTTTTTTATGACTACAACACGACGGACTGGACCAAGTACAGGAAAACACTCGACAATCACATACACATTACTAACAATGTCAAGGACAGAATATCTCTTGAGGAAGAATTCAAAAATCTCACAAATGCTATCATTAATGCAAGGAACGACTCTACCAAACGTGTCGCGCATAAACAACACATAGATACCCTCCCTCAAGAGATATTAGACCTAATCAACAACAAAAATTACATCAGACGGCGATGGCAAACACACAGATTGGCTGACGACAGAGTGAGACTGCTTGACATTGGCAAACATAAAAATTTCAAAATTAATGAACATAGAAATGCTCAATGGCGTCTCACCCTGGAAGCAGTCAATGTGCAAGACAACTCAGTGTGGAAAATGGTGAGGAGATTTAAGAAATCCTACTCGCAGCTTCCCACACTGAGACAAAACGACAGAACATTCACCACTGACGAGCAAAAGGGAATTGCATTCGGCGAATTTTTACAGAGCAATTTCAATAACCCTCAAATAAGTAATCTAGCACAGAAAGATATCGAAAGTCTAGTCAAAGACATACATGATATGGATATCCAAACTTTACCCCATAATGCACTCACAACGCCCAAAGAAATCTTTGATATCATCAGAAGGACGCCCAGTAAGAGGGCTCCAGGTCCCGATGGCATACATAATAAGTTAATAAAAAACCTATCTAAAAAAGCAATTGTGCAGTTGCACTATTTAGTTAACGCTATCTTAAAGTTCCAATGGTGCCCCTCGCAATTCAAAATAGCCAACATCGTGCCTATACATAAAGTTGGCAAAAATAAAACTGAAATAGAAAGCTACCGCCCTATCTCTCTCTTGAACGGTCTTGCTAAAATCACGGACAGAGTTATACTCAACAGAATACTCACTTACGAACATGACAGACACATTATTCCATCGGAACAGTATGGATTTAAAGCCGGACACAGTACAGTAGCGCAGATTATTCGAATCACACATCATGCCTTCAAAGGCTTCAATCAAGAGGCTCAAACTGTGCTAGTCGCGCTGGATGCTGCTAAGGCTTTTGATATCGTCTGGATCGATGGATTAATACACAAAATGTTTATGAATGACTACCCTGTTTATATTGTAAAAACAATACAAACATACTTGAACGATAGACTTTTTAACATTAAAATCAACAATACATCCCACGGACCTTACACAGCTAAAGCGGGAGTACCTCAGGGTTCGGTACTTGCGCCGCATCTGTATACCATAATGACCCATGACATGCCAATGGGACAAAATGGTATACAGACGGCCCTGTACGCCGATGACACTTGTATATATAAATCCTCCAAATCCGCAGAGATCGCGGCCAGAAGGCTGGACATCCATACGAACAGAACACTCGTCCCATATTTAGACAGCAATAAAATAAAAATAAATCCGTCTAAAACGGAAAGCTTAATACTCTCTCGTAGAAGGCTAGACCCCATAGTCACAAACATCAAGGTACAGGGGCAGGAAATCAGCACTAAAAATTCTATGAAGTATTTAGGATTCACATTAGATAGACGGCTTACATTTCAACGGCACATTAACAACAGAATTGCCTTAACTATGGGAGCCTTTAAAACACTTTACCCCATGCTGCATCGCAGGAGTGGGGTAACAGCCCATAACAAATTGGCACTCTACAAACAGGTTCTCAGACTTATTCTTACGTATGGTTGTCCAGTCTTCTGCTCGATGGCCAACACACACTTTAACAGACTTCAAGTCATACAAAACAAGTGTCTTCGGCTGGCACTGGGGTATAATCGTTACGCAAGAATACATGATATGCATGTACAAACAGCCATGGAAACTGTCAAAGAGCACGTACTCAGAATATCAGAACACTTTTACAATAAATGTCTTCCTCCACCTCCTAAGGAAGATATTCATTTTATTACACGAGGGGATGGTGCAGACAGGAGACATGGCTGTCTGCACAAAGCACTCAAAATCTATACGGACAATTGAAGACATAGTAAATTCAACATACATTCCCCCCAGCAATCCAAATCCCACTGAATAGCTGATTCTCAACGTCGACTAGTCCAACAGACAAGTCGGACGGAAGACTGCACGATGACGTCACCGCACGGTGACGGGGATTGAGATTCGTCGAAATCTCTGTTTCGTGCGGTGGCGAAATCGTGTAGACTTGAGAGTTGGCTACCCATCCTCCCAACCTACCCTTATAACACCTATGACGCACATACATATAAGGACAACCCTGTTTTTTCACTTTGGTTTTTCAGGGACAACCCACAAAAGTAAATTCAGACAAAAACTCAACACTTTACCATTACTATCTGGAAAGCTCACTGTAATTGACTTATTATATTGTAATTAATAAAGAGAAGTCACGTTAACTCATTATCAAAATAGGTGACAGACATCTACTCGGCCATTACAACGGTCTTGGCTCTCTTGGAGCTAAACAGATAGGAACACTTCGGGTTCGATATACTAGAAGAAGTCCTACTGTGTGATTTATATATATATATTGTAAAATATAGTATACTGTATGTTGTATGTTATCTTAAACTGTACATATGTAAATATTTTAATAAAGATTTTTGAAAGTAAAGTAGTTGAATTTGCACATTCAGTTATTTATTCACAGGAGTCCAGTCTGCGTTTGTCTGTCTTATTTTTATGTTTTTAGTTGCGTCTGTATAATGTCAGTGCTTTGTGGAGACATCCATGCTTTCTATGAGCACTATTTGCCTCCGTTATGTTTAAAATATCTTCCTTACCGTCGTTCGGAAGGCTGTTTTGATAGAATTTTTCTGATATTTTACGTATATGATCTTTAATAGTGGGCATGGATGTCTCTGTGTGCATGTCGATTACTCTGGAGAAACGGGGCCAACCCAGTGCCAGCCTAAGATAACTGTTTTGTACGACCTGGAGCTTGTTGAAATGACTTTCTGTCATTGAACAGAAAGCCTGACATCCATATGTTAAAATTGGCCGTATTACTTGTCAAAATGGTATAAACTCGGTTGAGAATTATAGAAGTTGGATTAAAATCAGAATGCCATTCCCATGCATTTGTTGTTCTGTGTACATAATATCTGTGATATAAGTCCGCATATTTGGTGGTTACTTTTCACACCAATATAATTTTTGACTATGTATTCATAAAACTTAATTTTTTTATTTTTATTTAGGGAATCTTCAGTTGTTCTGTATTCTATTCTTAACGAGATATGTACTTTGCGCTTTTTTCAATGTGCGCTTTTTTCCATGTGCGCTTTTTTCCTTGTGCGCTTTTATATCCGTGCGGTTTTTTCCGTGTGGGGTTTTTTCCGTGTGCGCATCTTTCCACGTGCGCTTATTTCCTGTGCGTTTATATGTCTGTGCGCTTTTTTCTGTGCGATTATTTCCTGTGCGCTTATTTCCTTTGCGCTTTTCTCCGGGATATTCCTTAATAATAGTATATTATGCAACGATCATGTATTAATAGCCATTACATAACAGTTGCACACCCTATTTTTTCTACAATCAAGAACCAGTTCTTCAATCGAAAATAGATTCATTTAAAAAATTATAATGATTTTGTGCTGTAACTCCTAAAATTAAAGATTTAATTTAAGAAAGAGTGTTAAAAAATTAAGAAAATCAAATTAAAAAATTTTGAGGGCAGATACATAGGATGTTTGATATTGGTGATAGAGTTTCAATAAAAGATTACCGTATACCAAATA